AATGTTTCTATATAAATAGATAGTATAAAGCTCGTATGTATACATCGTATCGTGCGCTTAGATTAAAATCTAAAAGTAAAAGTTACATAATAGGTTTATGGTATATTTAAGTAGGTACGTCCTGCCTACCTCCACTTATATAGATTATTATTATAGTTTTTTTTTTTCTGTTTTTAATATACATTGTGTGCATTAATACAAATACAATTTGAGTTTATTATCCTTCTGTCAGCCATTAAAGTAATTTCCGTTCAATTTTAACAAAACATGAAAAGAAACCAAAAATGAGAATAAAAACAAAACCAAAAAAAAAAAGAGATATGAATTTAATCCTTTAGAGACATTCAAATAATTTATTATATAACTGTGGCGAGAGAGAATTTTTTGTGATCTTTTTTATTTTTTTCTTTATATTTTGCCTTTAATGGCAAACGATAGATTCAAGCAGATAATAATTTTTGTAAGCTTCTTTAGTTTTCCAATATCAGAATTTTGTATGTGTTTTTCTCTTTTTTTTTTGAAATTTTTGTTAGTTTGTTGAGGTTTCTCTTTGAGGTTAGAGTAAAATTTTTCTTTTCCTTTTTATTTCTTTTCCTTTCGAAAAATGTTTTGACATTCTAAGAAAATTTATGAGTATTTTTGAAGATGGTTGAAAACCAGTATAAATTATGATGATAAAAAAAAAGGAAAAACAAAATGAAGGCAAAGTATAACAAACCCCAACACTATAAAATAAAAAAAAAAAAATTATATAAGTACATTGTTCAAATATATTTTCTTTGAATTTATAACTTTAACTATAAAAATGTACTTTATTAAATGTATAACGGAATTCAAGTTTTCTATTTCGCACATTAAATTATTGTGTTCTCCCTCACTCTCTCTTGTATTATATCAAAAAAATATATACATATATATCCAATTACTTAGAATATGGTCCATTTAATTTTTGATTTTAATCCCAGTGTTTCCTCAGGAAATCTACTTTATTTTTACAATATTTTTGATATTTATTTTTTCTTATTTTATTTTCATTTTTAATGATGATCAAATTAAAAATATTGCTTTAAAAAAGATTTTGTCTGTGTATATACTTACAATTATTATGTGTACATACTGTATGTATATACAGTAATAATTGAATAATTTTAAAAAAAATTAGAATTTTTGAACTTGGAAGCATTTTTGATTCGTTGTATTTAGAATTGTGAAGTATGGTCAATATATTTTTGTAGGTTTTTCTATCCATTTCAAAAATATTTCTAAAGCATCAGAATTTTTATTGAATTAAATTAGGAATTGATTGGGGTCAAGAGATATAATTATATGGAATTAATGAATATTTTAGAAAAATGATACTCAGTAAATCAGATATTATTAAAATTTATATCTATACAAAATGTCCGAATGAAATTTTCTATTTTAAAAAATTTTACAACGATGGAATACAGTGTATGGAATACAATGCAAATGCTATTGCTAAATGATTTTTGAAAATAATTTTTATACCAGATTTAACAACTTCATTCCCTAATTTATCAACTTTGGGCAATATTAAAGCCTTAATTGAAATTTTTAATTAACATAAAACCTTAATTAAAACCTTAAGAAATATAGAACTGCCTCCGCTTTACATTCATTTTCACTTCGGATTTATTTATAACGATTATGAATAACAAAAAACCAAAGAAACTAATTACAAAATTTAAGTTTTATACTATAATAAAAAACGTATTTAAAGGTACATAAAAAATAATTATAGTGATAATGTTTAATATAAAAGGAAATTAAGGAAATTAATTTTACAAAATAATCTTCTATGTCGTTTTGCAAACATAAATTTTAAGATTTCTAAATTTTAAAATTTTGAATCTCTTGTGGATTTAATATCTGATGTTTTGATATTCCTTGCAAATTTTGAACTAACATAATACTGTAGTCGTTTAAAATAAAATGATTCTACAAATTGATTATTGTAATGACATTTAGATCCACTGAGACCGTGTAAATATTAGTTAAAATGTTTCAGAGGAATATGACAATTTGTTAAAATGTTTCATTGAAATTTAAATTAATACGTTCTCATCAATTCTGTTGAGTAAAATTTACATTATAAAATTTTCTATTAAATATGTGAAATATTGAAAAACAATACGGGTTTTGCATAATCCAAAAAATAAATATTAAAAATTAAATTAATTCATTTTTCTATTGTGCAATTATTTTATTATGAATTGTTTAGTATACCTTGGCATATTACCTTGGGTACTTTAATTTTAATTTCATATTTAAATTTTTATAGAAATATTTAAATATTTAATGACTACCAAAAAGAGAAATACAATTTTTGATTATTTAGTCTCACAATAGTTCCTTTAGAAAAGTATGATAAATAGAATTATTTGGGAATGTAGTCTTATATTATAATCGAAAAAATTAGTTGATTAGATCTATGAAAAAATTGACATGTGAAATTTTCATATTGTTTTTAATAGTGCCCCTAAATATATGCAAATTTTGAGATTAATATTTCTTTCAAAAACGACAAGGTATGTCTTCAAACCCTATTTAAATAACATTTTATATTATTTTACTAGTCTCAAGTTTATCTACTCTTTGCTTCTGTAATTCTCTTAAAAAATTTACTTTTAATATTTTTAATGTACACTATAAACTCGATTAAAATAAAAAATATTCACAACAGTTTTGCCTATATTCGTATTGATTTTAAATAACTTAAATAACAAAAAAAAAAGATAATAATGTTAAGTCGAAAGAAACCCTAAATAAAGAAGTTACAGATTCCTTTTTAATCTTTTATTGGCTATTCTTCTATATGCTAGATTGCTTTTCATCCTGTTATTATTATTTTTTTATTTATTTATTTTTGTTTTGCTTCTGTTTTCCTATATTTAAAAATGGTACTAAATGTAACTTTTGATTAAAAAAATAGAAATAAACTTCCTCTTAATGGTCAAAAAGGCAGGTACATGTAGTATTACAGATAATCCAATAGATATCCACCTTATAAATTCTGTTAGATGTTTTATTCTATTTTGTTTTTATCTTTTGTAATAAAAGGACAAGGGAGTACAATACAAATATCCGATCGTTTGTTATTTTATTATTGGAAAAAACATATTTATACAAACATATAAATTGGATATAAATTGAATCGACACATTGGCAGAATTTTTATGCTTGCTTTGCTTTTGCAATTTTAAAGACAAACAATAAGTTTTAAATAATGTGGGTTCTATTAAGTTTTATGTTGATTTTAAATATAATTTATATAAGAAAATAAAGTGTTGTTGTTGAAAAAATAACAATTTATTTGAAAATAGTAATGAAATTAGTTTCAAAATTTAGTTAGAATTAGAAAATTGTAAACTTGTTAATTTAATATAGAAAATTATATATAATTTTAGGGAAAATACTATTTAAATAAGAATAATTAATTTAAATAAGAATCTAATTTTTAGAATTTTTGAAATTTTTAATTTTTTAAACTTATCTTACAAGCAACCTTACCACTTTTTAAGACAAATTTTTATTGCACTGTGATTCCGAAAATATGAAGATAACGCTATTAAATCATAGTTTACCTTAAATTCTTCAACTCAAAGTCACCTTAAAGATTTTTTCAAAAAAAAAAAAAAACTTTGTGCGAGGCCCATTCTTTTTTTGGACCGGTTGAAAAGAGCAAATAAAATCTGTAGCAAATGTTCTGAAAGTCCCTATATCTTAAAAACTTTCGAGATTTGATATTTAGGCCTAAAAAAAAAATTTTTTTTAAGCCCTAAACGGTGATGTAAGTTAACGCGTTCAGTGTATAGAATTTGCTGTACCAGTACCTTGAAAAACAGTATTAGTACAGCTACATCAATCAAGGCAATTATTTTTCTAAACACTCGTTGACGTTGTTAATTATGATAAGTACCTCTGAACATAAACGTTTAAAATTATGCTAAGGATAAGTATAAAAATTATGGATTCAAAGCTGACAATAAAGTAGCTGAAAATATTATAAATAAAAATTTAGTAAAATCGTATTTAAACGTTTTCTGTGCACAACATTTTTATAAGGCAGTTAACATCGGTAGTACCCAAATTTAGAAGCACATAATTAACAAAAATTAACAATATTATTGTTAAAATAATAATATTATAATTATTATTACTAAATAATGGTTTGTTTCTTAGATGTAACACTTTATTATTACCTATTTAATATTTTTATTACCTATTTGAAACAACTCCATAATTCTAAAGAACACTCAAATAATTTATAACAATTTCCGAATATAAAAAAAGTTTTTGGAAAAACCTCAATAATCAATGTAATGTTGTGCCATAAAATGTGTGGACATAGAAGTTTTGCTCTTATTATTCATTTTACTTTGTTTTTTCAATGTATAATCGCAATAATTACATTTATTATAAAAATATCAAACCACATACCTAGTCAACTTCCAATGGTAGTCATTAAAGATTTTATTTATTTTTTTGTTTGTTTTATTTTTTGGAACTAAATCACATTTAATGTGTCCAGTTTCCAGTTGTTTAACGATGTTAAAACAAAAAAAAAAATTGAAAAAAAAAAAATAAAAACCATTTCATATTGAGTGTAATTTTTCATTTTCATTTCATCTCATAAAAAAGATAAAAGTACCAGGATAGAGGAAAAAGATGAAAAAAGTTTGATGATCTGACATAACTCACCCTATCTCTTTTACTTTTTTTGTTTTTGTTTTTCATTTTCATATTAATATTTTATCATTTTCTTCGTACACATTACGTATATATACGTATGAGTGTGTGTTATGTATACGAAACAGTATTATTGTAAATTGCTTAATAAATTGCAAAAAAAAATATCGTATATTCTGAGTGTGTAGACTTGTATGTAGACTTATGTATATAAAATGTATAAAAATTTGTTTGTACATATTTAATTTTTTTTTATCTTCTCTATATTTTGTTTTTTTTTTATATTTTAGATATAATCGAAGCCCATAAAGACCATAAATTGTGTTCTTTAACGGGCGTCGAAGGAGGACATTCATTGGGTGGCTCGTTAGCTGTTTTAAGAACATTATACGCTATCGGTGTACGATATATGACATTGACCTCAACATGTCATACACCATGGGCGGATTCAAGTTATGCTGATGCTCCAACATTTAATGTTAAACATGGAGGCTTAACATCATTCGGCAAGGTAAGTTTTTTTTTTTTGTAATTTTTTTTCTTTAACTTTTTGCCTCAATTTTTATTCTTATTGGTTAACATATTATGTAGTTTGTTTTTCCTATCTGTTTTCTTTTTTAAAGGTTTTGTATAACAGTTTATTTACATAAAATAAACTGTTACATTCATATATTATCAGGATACAATTGTGTCCTTTGTGTCCGGAATAGGATAAAAGTTGTTTTCTATCCAATTATTATTATTATTATTCTTGTTATTTTTTTTTTGTTTTCTATTATCTAGGTAGCTACCAAAATATTTTCATTGAGACTATAATTTACTATTTATATACGTATAATATGGTATATATAAAGTAATAAAGTATATTTGAACTTGAGAACATTTACGTGCACATTATGTAACGCACATAATTTTAAAGGTAGTTTTCAAGATGCTTGCTTGTTATTTCCTCCAGTTTTTATAGAGTATAAATTATTACAGGGTTGTACAAGAAAAATATAATAAATTTATGTTATATGAGAGTATATTAGAACAGGTAATAAAGTAAGAGGTGAAGATTTTGATAATATTAAAAAAAAACGGAATATCTAGGATGTCCTTGTTGTTTTTGTTTTTTAACTTTATTTTAATCAGATATAAATTTTACAATGTGATCGTATTGTTAAAATTACTTATCTCTATTTCACATAATATAACGTATAGAAATATGTGAAAATTTGATTTTGCATAAAGGAAAGGAAATAAAAATATAAAAATAAGGGAAGCAAAAAGGACATAATATAATGTATTAAGGGTTCAAAAGTTATTTATCGTTATTATCTCTTTTTATGGTTATGTAATGAACTTGATTTAAATAAAAATCTATATGGCTAACTTTGTGATATTTTTTTTATAGTGAAAAAGAAAATTTATTTTTTTTTGATTTTTAAATAAAGGTGCACAAAATATTGGTAGTATACAATTTATTAAATTGGTAATATATAAATATTTGATATATGGAAAATAAGGAAATGTTGAAAATTAGATGGATAAATTTTTTTTTTATGATTCCTCGACAAGATCATTATTAATACAATTGTACTTTTCAATATCGAACAATTGTACTTTTTGACAAATTGTCTTCAATATTAAATATTTGTTTTAAACTTGTTGTTATATAAGGATACAAAAAATTATAACTAAGAATGCATTGTTTCTTGCTTTAACATATCGCAATTCTTGCTGTATATTTTACATCTGTGTTTCCTATTGTAATAATACCTTGACAAAATCCTTTTCTCTTCAAAAATGTTACGTAATATATGAGATCAAGATATAGTCTATGTTATTCAAATTAAAATTTCAAGAAATGTTATTTATATGGAATCTAAAATGAAGATATGAATATGGAGTGTGCATCTATTCTATTTATTTCATTGACGTTTGCATGTTCGCAAAAAGATTTTATAGTCCACGTATAGATCATAATAATCATAATAATTGTTAAGATTAATTATAAATCTAAACGATCAGGAAATATCAATTTTATATTAATTTCATAAAAATAATTAATTGAATTAAAATTCAAATCTTCAAAAGTAAATTTATTCGAATAATCATATTTTTAATATTGAATGAAGCATTTTGATTCGAAAAATAACAATTCTGTTGCTATTTATAGTAAATTTTAACAGAATTTAATCAATGAATTACAACTTTTTTTCGTATCTGAAAAACAGAAATATTATTAAAAGAAAGTGACAGAATAAAGTTTCTTATAAATAAATAAAGAATGTTTTCTCGTCCTTTATCATCCTTAGGAAGGTTACAGTTTCGTACGTTATTGGGCTTTTAATTTGGTAAAGGAAATTTTTCTTACAAAATGTTTTTTTTTGAGAATTTTCTAACAAAATTATTATTCCTACTTTACTTTACTGAAATGTCACTCCAATGAGTTCTTTCAATGAAAAGTTTTAATCTTCAATCATTTTCGTATTAAAAACTCTATATACATAATATGTACTTGATTTACTTGTATTTGAATATTTAATATTTCATTAAGATACTTGAAATTTTAATTTTATTTCTACATTAATAATATTTATAGCTATATCATTCTGTAATACTATTTTACTAATATATATTCTCCACAATATAATATGTGATGTATAAGATGTAATGTATAAGACGTCGAAATTAAAAGCATATTTTACCCCAAAAAAAACAACAGCTAGATTTATATCTATATCTAATTCTAAATTATAATATTTTTGAAAAATTTAAAATGAATTTGATGAATTTCTAAATTAACTTTTCATATAGGACCTATATAATATACATAGTATGGAGATACTAAAAATGCTATTTGGGACAATTTTTCCCTGTTTTTCTTTTTATGATTTGAAATATAAATTATTTACAAATCAATTTTAAGAAAATTTTTATATACATATATGTGAATACAGTACATATCAGTTATACCGTACACTCAAGAGACCGAAAAAGATATACGTTCTGATCAATTTTCGGTATAGTCGGTATACAAATAAAAAATATTTATTATTTACTTTTCAACTTTTATTCTTGTTTTCAACTGTCTCCAATTCTAAATGTAAGAATATGAAATTTAAATCAATTATGACATTTATGGCTTCCGAAAAAGAAAATTTTCTTAAACAGGAAAAATTTTACGTTAAAAACCATTTAAACTGCATAAGTATATAAAAAATTAGATGTTGCTCAAGCAGATGAACTCGTTATAACTAATGTTATTTCCATATTAACAGAGGCGACGCTGACATAAAAACATTCGCTATAACCAGTTTCTCGTTAAAATCGATTTCCTTATAAGTAATTTTTGTCTATACATTTTATATATGAATCAAACTTTGTTATAGTTTTTGTGCGCTATAAACGACATTTCGTTATAACGGATTTTTACTGTATTTACATTTTATATTTGTATATTTATATATGTAAGTAGAATGTCCAAATTTCAAATTATGTGCCATGGTTCAATTTAAAATATAAATTATTTCTTTATTTTTTTTTTTCGTAATTTATCTGTAACCTTCTTTTTATGGCAATTTTTTTTTTTGTGAAAAGTATAGATCAAATGACTGAAATATATGAGAAAATTATACATAAACATAGTAATATGAAATGGTAAAAATTTGTATATGTATATATGATTATGCATTTACATTGTATATAAAAGAAATGTCTTTGTTATACAGCTATCAAAATATTTTCGCACTCAAAATAACAATAAACCAAAAAAACACAAAAAAAACGAAACAAGAAATGTGGAATATAAAAACAATAAAATAGAAAGTTTTTTTTTTTTTTTGGTATAAAAAGAAAATAAATCTTCAATAAGGAAAAACGGTTCATGTGACCGTAACTATTTTGTGACAGAAAATCTAAACTGAAAATTATTTATGAATTCTAAAATCTATTATAAATTATTTTTTGAAAAGGATGCAACTCTTTAATTTTTCGTTTATTTTTATTTTATTTTTGTCATTTTCGGGAAGAAATTGGAAAATTATCCTTATAACATTACAACCACATATACGTGTAATATGACATGGGGGAAAAATCTCGTTTTAAAAATTTATTTTATATTTTTATATGTGTACATTAATAAAACATTCAATTATACTCACATACGAAACATAGATATCCTTAATAATAATATTGATCCTTATTTCATACAACTTAAACGGGAGTATGTGCATATGCATATATATTATACGAATGATGTTCATATTTATATTGAAAATATCGGTTTGGTAAACCGCCCAATTTGCTAGTGAAAAACCATAAATTTATCTCTGTCTGTTATACTTTTCTGTTTTATTTTTAACGTTTTCTTTCAATTTTTTTTTGGTATTTTTGAGAGGAAAATATAATTTGAAATACGAAAATTTTTTTACCTAAAAAATTTTCTAAAATAAAACTTGTACGCTATACTGTTGTGGAGGATGACAATTTTAAGATTTTTGAGATTAAATTTTCAAATTTTTTTTTTTGGGTATTTTTTTTTCTCTAAACATATTATTGTTTTTAATAAGCGAGGGTAATAAATTTTAACGATATTTGAGTAAAAAGAAAAAAATTGTTTTAAAGAAACTATATTATGTGGAATGGTTAAAATGATTGCCATTTTATGACACCATTATATAGTTTATTATTATAAACGTGCACCAAACTGAACGTATTTAAAAATAGAACCTACGCATTTTATGAAATGGAAAATTTGAAAATCGAAATTAATGCTTATTGAGACCTAGTAAATATTAAAAAATAAATAAAAATCATCTCTGTATTGAACTTTAAAAATATCGTTTTATAAACCGGAAAAAATGCAAAGTCTTACGAAAAAATTCATGAAGATAACGAGAAAAAGAATAGCAAAAAACAAAATAAATGAAAAATATGTAGGACAAAACTTTTTCCCACATATCCTTGCATATATGTATGTATATATACAATCAATATAGGCATGACGTTAGAACATTTATAAAAGAGCACAAAATACGAAAAAAAAAGAACCTGCATAACGAAAATATGCAATTTTTATTCATTTTTATGTCTAGTCTTCCTTCAATATTTTTATTCCGCTTTTTGATTTTTATATGCATTTTCCGGTGGTGATTTATAGATTCTCTATAAAATTTTTTTTTTTCCTAATTTTATATGAAAACCTTTTCTTCCCTTACATTTTTATAAACTTTTGTAAATCTATATGTATTTCATTCGCATACAAAATACACATGTATTCTCACACAGTTGAAATCAATGCTTCTATATATTATATGAGAGCAATGACGTATTTTTGTATACTGAGCTATCGATATTGGAAAGAAAACAAAAGAGAAAAAAAAAAACTAGAAAAAACTTAGCGCATATGTTAACTATTTTATTTTCCCTTCATATATGCTATAAAGATAGAATTTTCTGGTAAATATAGATGAAAACTTTATCCTATATATGACTAAGGGAAAAAGATATTATTAAATCTCTGTA